TATTCTATTCTATTCTATTCTATTCTATTCTATTCTATTCTATTCTAAATCTTATTCTACTCTACTCTACTCTACTCTATTCTCCTCATGACAAAATAAATAAATACACAATCGTGGTTTGAATGAGTGGATGGCAGTCTAACATTTCAGAAACAGACAAAAATAGCATACTAATAGAAGAGAATCTTTGTGACTCAGGGTTGAACTGTGGGATCCTTGGTGCTCTCTGAGCATGGCGATTTTCTTGCAGATGTTTCATTACCCAACTAGGTAACATCATCAGTGCTGAAAGGGGTGGGTGGGATTTGATCTTTGTTTATGTACAAGTGGCTTTCCCTGTCAGTGTTGTTAGGAGTGTCAGCTATCAACAGGCACACAGAGATAAACAATATCTACATACTAAGCAAAACATTTTTTTTATATTTTATTTATGCATTGTTCTTTTGCATACATAAGTGCTTAGTAAACAGTGTAGTGTCTGGGTCAATTTAGGTATACATAATAATAGTAATAATATTATTATAATAATATAATATTATTTTCTTGTACGTAGTGATAATCTTCCTACTTCTAATTTCTACCTCTTTTATCTAGCCATTGGTAAAACAAATCCCATGTTAAAAAATATTCTGTATCTTCTTCATCTTTTATCTTTAATGTTAATCTATCAATTTCTGCACTATCTAATCATTTTTTAGTTATATTTTCATCTGTAGAAGTTTCCTCATTTTTCCAGGGTTGTGCAATTCTCGCTGCTGTCAAAACATGTAGTATTAAATATATGTTCCCTTTGCCATATTTTTTTTCCTGGTAATATACTTAACAGAAATATTTCTGGCTTTAAATCTCTGTGTTGCTAAATCTGTGTGTTACTAAGCAAGACATTTGTTAAGTGAATTTTGCCTGGGAATTTATGACCTTTCTTTTGACACAGTTGTTCAGAGAATTATTGTGATTATGATGGTTATCGTTGTGATTATGATGGAATCATTGTGATTATGATGGTGCTTGATGGTTAAATGAATCTGGTGCCTACTGACTTTGCTTCTCAGATGTTTGGCAAAGTTGATCGCATGACCCCGTGTTGTGGTTAGCCGGCAGCAGGTGCGGATGGCTGAGGAGAGCGAGGACTCAGATAAGGGGCCGGGACCATTAGGGAGTGGACTGCTGCCTTCAGAGATTGTGGGGGCTGGCAGCAGCGATGAGGAGGTTCCTGAGGAGCCTGTGCCAAGTGCATGTGCGCGCAGGGTTGCTCGCAGGAAAGAGCAGCTACAATAGCACAGGTGACTTGGGAGTAAGTCTGCAAGGTAATGGCCCCTCCTTCAAGAAGATAAAAGCCAGCTGTGAAACAAACGTACTTTGCAGAAGGCAAAGACATTTTGAAACCCCAGCCTCATGGACATTCCAGTATCCCGAGTTTGTTTTTGAAGATTCTTGCATTGCAAATTATTTCTTGTCTGTTGTCTTTTGGCAAGTCTCGCACAGTTTGGCAAGGCTTGTGCTTATCACAGTTAATTATTTTGTAAAAGCATTACAAGGTTTCTGTTTCTTTTGGATTGTGTTTGATTTGTTGGAAAAGGGCGTGGGTCAGGACACCCCGGAACATTGCAACAGTCATAAAATATGAGCCCCTTGTCAAGCGTCTGAATTTTGATCACATGACCGTGAGGAATGCTGCAACGGTCATAAGCATGAAAACTGCCCACCGGTCCCTTTTTCATAAGTGTTGTTGTAACTTTGAATAGTCACTAAACAAACTGTTCTAAGTGGAGGACTAGCTGTAGTCTGTTTTGTTGTTGTTTTCCTTCTTAGCTTTTTCTTAGCTTTGCCTCTTTGGAATGGCATGTGAACAGGGGTGAGCTTCAAAAAATTTAGCAACGGGTTCTCTGCCAGGTTGTTGGGTGTGGCCATGGTAGGTGTGGCCTAGTCGGCCTCCTTCACCATGGCGGGAGGGCAGTTTTCACCCTTCCTGAGCTCTGGAGGCTTTCCTTGAGTCTCTGAGAGGGTGAAAATGGCCTCCCTGGACTCTGGAGGCCCTCCGGAGGCTGGAAATGGGCCCATTTCCAGTCTTCCAGAGCCACCGGAAGGCCTATTTTCCCCCCCAGGCTCTGGAGGCTCCCTGGAAGCTGGAAACATGACTATTTCCGGCCTTCAGGGGCCTCCGGGAAGCCCATTTTTCACCCTCCCCGAGCCTCCGTGCAGGCCCTGCCAAAATGGGCTGTGTGGAAACTCCTAGGAGGGGCAGGAGGGGGGGGAATGAGGTCAGCCAGTCGGCCAAACTACCGGTTCGGCAAACCAGTTGTCAAATTAGCATCCGGTTCGCCCGAACCAGTGCGAACCGGTAGCAACCCCCCTGCCCTGCATGTGAATGCCTACGAATTCCCCCCTCTCCCCAATTCTCCTAACAAAGGGCTGGAGATAGAGATAAAGAAGCAAGGAGAGAGAGAGAGAGAGAGAGAGAGAGAGAGAGAGAGAGAGTGTAATTCGAGTAGGAAACCTAATTCACACTCTGATTTATTACAACTTCAAACTGCAGCGTCGCTAACAAAAGAGGTTAAAGGGGAAAAGAAAAAAAAATATAAGAAGTGAAAATAGTGCACATGACTTTCTTTTCCAGCCAGATTAGCAAAATATGCTTTGCCTTTCCAGTCTTGAAGTTGTCTTTTAAATGTTCATAAGCAGAAAGAGACAATTGTTCTGCTCCCCCCACCCCATATATTTTACATTTGGACTGCAATTTTCCTTCTGCCACCAAATGCTCTTCCCCGTCTGTTTTTCAGTATTCTCCAATTGTTTTATTTGTTTAACTTCCTTACTGCGTCTTAACCCAAAGCTGTGATTTCCTGGAGGTGTGGGTGCTGGTGGAAATATGTGAGCCAGATGGTTGCGATCACCACTCAGACACCATTTGACTTCCGGATACAACAATGGAGGAGGATGAGCCAGGAGGGATTAAATTGAATTTTTTCTCTTAATATCCTCAGGCACAGGAGTAGATGATGAAGCTCTTCTACCAAGAGCCAGCTAGTCTTGCTGCAGCTATTCCAATTTTTTTTTAAATAAAAGTTTTATTTAAGTTTTCACAAAACATAAATACAAATAAAATATCTTTTTTTTGAGAACAGCATGACCTTGGATTATCAGTCCTCCATACAGACATAAACTCAGTGCATATTTATCTTATACATTCTAATCCATATCTTATAACTATTTTTTCAATTTTTTCAATAGCTTTTCCCTTTCTTTACTTCCTATAGCCTTATTTTAAATTATCTCATTCTTTTCTTAATTCAATTACATATCTTTTTCTAATTTTTAAAATTTTTAAAATCTTTCTAATCAATGTCTTTATACTTTCATCTGTCCTGTTTACAATTTCATATTATCTTTTCTCATAAAACAAAATTTCCCCTGTAATTACTAGACTGGAGTGTAACACCTTTGTATCTTTTTTCAAATCTTGTTTAAAAATTTAAGTTACACCTTTACAGATATAACATTCATTTTTTAACCTCTATTTTATAACACATACCTATTTTCAATCAAATTCTGCTTGGTACATTCCCTTAAAAATACACACTAAATTCTTAAAAGAAAAAAGTATATATGTATATATATCTGTGTATATATGCATAACAATAGTAAATGAAATAATTATTCTATTCAAGTACAGCTCTGCCATTAATATTAATAACAATCTTTTACATTTCTATTTCTTTTAACAAACATTACCTAGTAATATCAGTTGCCTTTCACTTTAATCATCTATATTTCATATTTTACTTATTACTGTCTTTAAATAAAAAACAAAACAATAGTTATTAACAGTAGTCAATAAAATTATTATTCTTATTCAAATTCATCTTGTCAACTGATAAAAAATCTTCCATGTTTCTTTTCAGTTTTTTTAACTTTCTTTTTAAATCATTGAGAACCTTATTCTCTTTACAAACAAATATTCCATTACACATCAATACAATTTTTTTCTATCACTTTAATCATCTAAACATATTTTCTAACCCTTTCCTATTTCATGCACCTTGCAGAATCCTCTCCTTAAGTTACATTTTAACCATTGTCTCTGTGTCTTTTAAATAGGTTTATACCTTTGATTCTTGTATGCTTTTCCTGTATCTTTATATCTTGTTTCTGTCCTTTGTAGCTTCTTTTCCTTTCTCTCTTCCCTCTCTTC